CCCAAAAGCAGCTCTCCTGATGCAGTTAAGCGTATATCCCAATGTTTTCCTAGGATGATGTCGAGAATAACACAGATCCCTTACTCTGCACTTTAGGATCCAAAACGTACCTGCGACCCTCAGCAACTCAGCAAGGCCCAGAAGCTTGGTGGACTGTCTGTAGCACGTGGGGGACTGGGAAATACACTCCTTGATGAGGCCGATCCGATCAGAGCACAATCGCACTGCAAGAGAAAGACACACTGAAGACTTGTGGCCACGGACAGAGCCCAGGGCATCGTGACCTTCCTAATTTAAGGCACTCGAACAAAATAAAACTATGTTAACCTCTAGTTCAATAATGATTAAGTAAAAGACACAATTTAAAAAAAAGTTATTGTTGCTTCTGCATAAATGATATACAACATGGATCTTTTATCACCAAACTTCTGAAACACAGCAAATGAACTGGGATTCTGAAGCTAGGAGAAGTGTCATCTTTTCAAGTGCCACGCCAGATTAGGGAAAGCTCTACAGACGGCGGTGTCTGTCTCTGAAAACCTCACCCGCTTTCTGTCCTCCCACCTGACCTCGACCCCCTGAAATCCACTCCCCGTTCCAAATATCCACTGTCCACCTCCACCTCGTCACCCCGTTGTGGAGGGCAGGAGTCCTCACTAGTCCAATTTATTAGCCTCTCTCCAAAAGCAGTCCCCATCTTCTCGCCTAAGCTACATGTTAGGAAAATAAAGTACATCTGATCACACCAACTCACACTGTGGAGTAGTTAAGCACACAAAGGGGAAAAAAAAACGACCTCGAGTTAAAGAGTTTTATGTATATACTAGAAAGGAGTGGTATCTATTTATGATAGAGGTGCCAATCTTTGAGAAATATGTCACTACCTGGGAAGCTGGGACCCAATAAATACAACAATTATCATGAAAGCAGCTGACACTGGAAGAGTATGACCTGTGTCCCAGGCGCTGTTGTACGCACTTTACGTGAGTTAACCCAACAGGGCAGAACCTGAAAAGGATGAAACTGAGGTGCAGAAGTTTAAGTACTTAGGCCAAAGTCACTGCAAGTGATGGGACCTGAATTAGATTCAGCTCCTTAAATGTTTCCACACCCCCATTCCTTTATCCATTCCTAAATCCACGGCTACATTGG